AAAAATCAGCCGGGCGTGGTAGTGCGTGCCTGTAGTTCCAGCTACTCGGAAGGCTGAGGCGGAAGGATCGCCGGAGCCCAGCAGGTCGAGGCCGCGAGGCTGCGATGGCCGGGAGCGGCTGTTGCACTACAGTCTGGGTGACAGAGTGAGACTCCGACTCAACAACAACAACAAAAAAAATTATAAAACACACACAGGAAATTATGAATTAAAATAAAAGGCTATAATAAAATTAGAAATCTCAAAGGTAAAAAATATAGTCAGTTAAATTAAAAACAAAAAACAGATGAGCTGAACTTTAGACTAAACACGGTTGGAGAACAGATTAGGGAATGAAACAGAGCGCTGAAGAATTATCCTAGTATAAATCCCGAGAGTCAAAGAGGCAAAAATATAAAAGAGTAGGTAGGAGATGCAGAGAACAGATCAATAAACTCTAAATTACATTTAATAGAAATTCCAGAAAAGGAGATTGGAGGGAAGGATGGAGAAGCAATACTTGAAGATCTAATAGCCGGACATTTTTCAATTTGCAAAAAGACATTAGGATTTGTTTCCTTCACATTCTTTCAATCACTCAAGAAACGCTTAATGAACTTACTATATGTTACACTGTAGACTAGGAACAGGGCATACAAAGTTAATGGAGTAATTTTTGCCCTTGCTTGAGGGGCTCACAATTGGTCGGAGAGATGGACATGTTTAATTAAAATCTAATGTTAAAAGTGCTATTGATAAAACAGTGTATTATCGAATTGAGGAGGAAAAACACCCCTGGAGGACCAGGAGAAATTCACAGAGGAGATGAGATGATATCCAAACTGGGAATTTAAGCGGAGCGTTCCCTAGAGCATTGTTCTACAGTTCCTTGGGGCTTTGTTCTGAGAGTTCCCTAGACTGTTCTGCGTGTTTTCTAGAGAGTTGTTCTTTAGGAAGAGGAAACAAAAGTCACAGAGGTGCTGGGCGGTGGCTTACGCCTGTAATCCCAGCACTTTGGGAGGCAGAGGCAAGAGGATCGCCTGAGTCCTTCCTCAGCCTCCCAGGGTTTGGGACTATAGGCGTGAGCCACTGCATTTGGCCAGAAAGAGAAATCTTTAAGACATAAGATAAAGGGACTGACTGGGGAAATATTTCTTTCTTTTTTTTTTTTTTGAGTTGGAGTCTCACTCCGTCGCCCAGACTGGAGTGCAGTGGCTGCTTCTGGCCACTGCAGCCTCGACCTGCTGGGCTCCGGAGATCCTTCTGCCTCAGTCTTCCAAGTAGCTGGAATTACAGGCGCACGCTTCCACGCCCGGCTAATTTTTTTTCAAATTTATTGTAGAGATGAGGTCTCGCCAAGATGCCCAGGCGGGTCTTGAACCCGCGGGTTCAGGCAGTCCACTCACCTCAGCTTCCCAAAGGCGCGGGATTACAGGCTGAGCCACCGAGCCCGGCTGGGGAAATATTTATAATCACCATTTTTTTTTTTGCCTTAAGAGTGACACCTTCAGATTAAGGTGCTAAAAAAAGTTTATGAAGGATCATAAGTAAATGCATATAATGTAGAGAGATATATATTCATAAATATCATGACTTAGGATGATAAAGATGGATTTTCCTCCAAGATAAATCCAATGCAATGCCAATCAATATCCAAATTTTTTTTTTTAAATGAGACTTGACTGATTTATAAAATTTGTACAAAAGAAGGCCTAAAATTAGTCAAAATAATTTTGAAAAGAGGACAGGCATAGTGGCTCAAGCCTGTAATCCCAGCATTTTGGGAGCCCGAGGTGAGAGGATTGCCTGAGTCCATGGGTTCGAGACCAGACTGGACAACACGGCGAGACCTCATCTCTACAATAAATAAAAAAATTAGCCAGGCATGGTGGCGCATGTCTGTGGTCCCAGCTACTTGGAAAGTTGAGGCGGAAGGATCGCTTGAGCCCAGCAGGTCGAGGCTGTGGGGACCATGAGCGTGCCACTGCACTCCAGCCTGGGTGACAGAGTGAGACTCCAACTCAAGAAAAAAAACAGGTGTAATACTAATGCTGAGAATGAAAGATGAGGATGGTGGAGAATGGACGAAGATCTCATTAGAGAAATATTTAGGGGGGAAAATGACAGACCTTGAAGCTTACTTTGGCGGAGACAGGTGGCTTGCATAGGAGGTGAGGGCATAAGAAGGGTCAAGGACAATGTCAAGGTATCAACCTGGCCAAAGGGTTGTAGGGTGGGCCCATCAGCACTGATATTAGGGTGTCTGGGACGGACAACTAGGTCTCAGGAAAATAGGATGGGGCTTGGGAGAACTTGGGGCAGACGTCTCAGGATGTTGCTGAAGTCGTGAAAATAAACGAACTTCCCTGGGCAGATTCAGCAGGTAGGGTAGGAATATGGAATGGGTGAGCAATGCGTCCTCGAGGATATCGCCTGAGCTTGAAGGACAGAGCTCTGAAGGGGCAGCAGGGCATTGCAGGAGCAGCCCAGGCTAGAGGGAAGATGCAAACGCTGAGCGAGAACAGAGTCAGAAGCCTCTGGAGAGGACGTTGTGGGAGGTTGAGATGTGCAAGAAACCCCAAAGGTGGTGAGAGGGGAGAGAGGGCAAAGAAGGAAGAAAACCTCAGAACCTGTGAGGCTTTGCTGTGTTGCCCAGGCTGGTCTCAAACTCCTGGTCTCAAGCAATCTTCCCACCTCAGCCTACCAAAGTGTTGAGATTACAGGCGTGAGTCACCACGCCCTGCCTCTTCATTTTGCCATTGACACGTGCAGACCGGTAGGTAGACTCACCTTTGCACCGATCGCAAGTCGGATGGCATCGCTCACAGGTCTGGGTGCTTTGCTCTGCGTAGTGATGCTCTGGACAGGATCGACGACACTCTCCCTTGGAGCGGAGCAGGAAGAAGAACGTCTCGCAGGACAGGCAGTCAGTGGACCGTGGACCCCCGCAGGCCTTGCAGCTCTTGTCACACCTCACACACTGGCCAGTGGTGTTTTCTGCGTAGTATCTGAAACCAAAGGCAGAAGCAAGAAAGGAATACTAAGCCTTGCTCCTAAACCGGGTGCGGTGGAAAAGACATGACGGTCAGACAGGTTTTATTTACAAGCTGGGTGACTTTAGCTTCTTTACCCATTAGATTCTAATGATTTTCAGTTTTCTTATCTGTAAATTGGACATATGATCCCTCCCCCACTATTTGTGAAAATTAAATTGGATAACATATATGAAAAGACCTAGCACTTATCACACAGAGTAGCACCTTGATAACAGTTAGCTACAATTGTCTTTTTCTTCTATATGCCTCTCCAATTTCAAGCTTTAAGTTGAATGCGATCAGGGAATGAAAGACATTTTAAATGTACCTCTGAGTGGTTCTTCTAATTTCTCAATTTAAAAAAAAATTTGAGTGAGAGGCTGAGTTGAGTGGATTGCCTGAGCCCTCAGGTTCGAGACCCGCCTGGGCAAATTGGCGAGACCTCATCTCTACAATAAATCAAAAATTAGCCGGGCTCGGTGGCTCAGCCTGTCATCCCGCGACTTTGGGAGGCTGAGGTGAGTGAATTGCCTGAGCCCGCGGGTTCGAGACCCGCCTGGGCAGTGAGACCTCATCTACAATAAATAAAAAAATCAGCCGGGCGTGGTGGTGCATGCCTGTAATTCTGGCTACTCGGAAGGCTGAGGCAGAAGGATCGCCGGAGCCCAGCAGGCCGAGGCTGCGGTGGCCGGGAGCGGCCACTGC